GCTCACTGGAGTTACCACGAGTCAGCTCATATAAAAAATCTTTTTTTATTTTCTAAGATAAAAAAAACAAAAACAAATTAAGATAAAATGAAACAACAAACCATAAACGAGAATGAACTAAGTACTCTAAACAAACTTAAACAAACGACATAAATTGTTGTACTAAAAGAAACAAACCAATAAACCAAAGAAAACCACAAACAGCACTTTCTATCACCCGTTTATCACCCGTTTATCACCATTTGGACAGATTCGTTTCTCTGTTTTTCAGCTTCGACCTCTGTTCAGTTTTTAGCCTATAACTTTCCAACTGTAAGTCCAAATTTCACGTTCTTTATATGGTTGGATTCAGCACAGAAAAACAAAGAACCCTGCGTGGATCAAAAGGCAAAAACAATTACGGAAATAAACAGAATTCAAAGAAGAGAAAGGATTGAAATGCTTCCCCTTGAAGCGATTAGGTCAAGCATGGATGCACTTGGAGGTCGACTTCTCCCACTGCTCCACACTTCCCATTCTTATGATTGAGGTTGGCATCTCTCTCCATTTTTATTAAGCTGTCATAAATTGCTAAAACAAACACACAAACTTGAAATGGAATTAAAAGGATTAGGAAATAAAAACTAAAATGAAAAGGAAAATCAACACGCATCCAATTCCATGTTTCAAAGCAACAAGCACCAATGGGTTGTGTAAGCTGGGACTTAAACCCAGTTCTCTTGCTTGTTGGGCAATTATCCTTTTCTGTTGGACTACAAACACAACTTGTCCATTAACGTCATTACCTTTAAAACAAGAAATTGTCTAGTTAAGAAAAAAAAATAAAATAAAGTAATAAAGCCAAATAGAATCAAACAATGTTACCGATCCCCGGCAACGGCACCAAAAACTTGTTGCATCGATTCAGCTGCACCAAAATGGATTCAGCTGCATCCTCCTCTTGTGATACTCGCAAGTGCACGAGCCGTTCGGTAGTATAGCATATGTAAGTGCGAGGTCGATTCCACAGGGTTTGGTGATTAAATGATCCAATTCATTTTCCCTACACAAAACAGAAATGAAAAAAAAAGGAAATAAATAAAACAAGGAAGAAAGAAAATAAATAACTCAAGCAGATAAGTTCCCAAGTTCAATTAGATTAACGGATTGATTCTAGCTAATGTATGATTAAGCCATGGTGTGTGGTCATAACCTTGTGTTCCTAATTCCCTAATTTGATCATTTGTTGTCTAACCTAAAATTAAGCATTAGGAACCCATTAAGCATAGAAGAACAATTTAAACAACCAAGCATGTATCTAATCCCTGTTGTCGAATGTCCATACATACTCTTC